GTAGACGTAAACAGGGCCCTCATCTGCAACTCTGATTTCTGCTGAATTCCTTCTCTGGTACAATAACATGATTTGAATGAGATTTAGTCTGTAATGTGCAATTTGTTCCCAAGTCTATACTTCAATGGCCTCAGGGTTGGTGTCTCAGAGGCTATAAGATATATGGCTCTCTCCAGACAAAGGTGGTGGAATGTCTGCCCCTCATATGTTTTTTTAAATGTGCAGTTGGATGCAACATGCACACAAGGGGTGGGGGGAAAGGAAACTGATAGGCTTGCAGTTGTAAAAATGGGGGGGGGATTAGTCACTACTGCTGGTAAGAAATTAAACCGCAGACACGTCATGTAACATAATTTCCAGTTACACAACTTTGTGTCCAACTGTACCCTAGCAAAGCAAAGCATGGCAATGCAAAACAAAAGAACCGTCTCTCTTGGAGGATGATCTCCCAATTCGGATTGCCTCTTGATCAACCCCCACAAGATTTCACATCATTGACCTCCTCGCTTGCCCAGCTCCAGTCTCAGAAGAGATCCAGCAGGGATCGACTGCCGCGGGTGGATCAAGCAAGACCTTGAATTGCAGGATCCGAAGCCCTCCGAGGCTCCCACTCCGCTCCCTCCCGCTGGCCTAAATCATTCCCCTGCAACTGCTTGTAATGGAAGGGAGAGAGATCAATGCTTCTTCTCATTCACTTCCACCTACCCAGGTTATGTCAGACGCTGCAGTAGCAGAGCGTGGTAACTCAGCAGGCAGAACGGAGTTGTGAAAAAACTGTTTACTAGTGTACGGTGTTAGGTGTCTAGCTCATTGCATTGGGATGCCTGATTGTGTCAAGAGCCAGGAATTCTCACTGACTGTCCCCACAGAGGGGCCAGCCAAGACCACCTGGAGCCCAAGTGTAAGCTGCACGGTCCCAACATGCCACTCCAAAGAAAGCCGGATAAATCATTTCCAGAGTCCTGGAAAACTTGATACAAGTTGGAATCGACTTGATTGCTCACCATCATCATAGTTTATGCAGCACAAAAAGGTCTACCATTATTTTGGGGGACAACTGTGTTGCAAAGGACCCAGTTAGATAGATTGTTTTAAATATGCATGAATGCAATTGATTTGTATGTTTAGGGGTGTGTGCGACATGTTCTCCTGACTCCTGGAGTGGTTTTCCCAATCAGTTTGTGGTGTTGTTCCTCCTCCTTAGTTGTATCTTCTTGGGTAGCTGTTTGTGTTGCCTGCTGCGTTCGGCTGACCTTAAATACATCTAACCACTTCAGTTTTTGAAAGTCGCCCGTTGGCCGCCATGCTGGATGATTCCTGGGGGATCGAGTCTGTTAGCAGCATGCAGAGAGGAAATCTCCGGGGAAGTGTACTGAGTCTTCCAAGGAACTTCCGAAAGCTAGCAGCGGATCACAGGTTTCAAAAAGCGCTGGTGTTGAGAACCAACACCATCCGGAACATCTCGAGCGCCATACCTAAACGGAGGGCCAGCCTTGGCTCTTGGCAGAGTTTTTGGGGTGTTGCTTACTCCTGTTTTTACTGCTGCTTCTCCAAAGCGAGAGCACAGCTTGGAAATGTCACTTATTGAGGCTAACCATCCTGTAGAACCATCCCCTCTGCAGCCATGCAGTCTGGGAATTTTGAGAGATGATGATGATGATGATGATGATGATGATGATGATGATGATGATGATGATGATGATGACGATGACGACGACGATGATGATGATTATATTTATATTTATGTTTACAGTATTATTATTATTATTATTACTACTACTACTACTATTACCATCATCATCATCATCATCATCATCATCATTTCCCCCAAAATATGAGTAAGAAGAACTGGTGGAGAGGGGCAGGATCAGCTCCGTCTGCTTTGTGCTTTCTTTCCACAACCCCTTGGGGAAGGGGGGAAGGGAACTCACTGGCAGTGGGAAGAAAGAGGAAGGGGCCCCATTCAGGCTGGGAGAACAGCTAAGGATCACGGTTCCAGGGCCCTCCAAAACTGGCACCCGTTAACAAATGCCTTATTTATTTATTTTTAATACATCTATAAAGTTTCAGGCCCAGACCCTGGGAAGATGTTTGAGAATTCCGCCCATCACCATTGGCCATGTTTTAGTTTTCTCTGGAAAAAGGACAGCCTGTGAGCTGTGAAGGGTCTGTCTCTCCTGCTCTGTCCCCCCTTCTTCAAGATAGGAACACGGATATCCTCTAAGGCAGTGGTCCCCAACCTTGGGCCCCCAAATGTTCTTGGACTACAACTCCCAGCAGCCTTCACCACCACCTCTGCTGGCCAGGATTTCTGGGAGTTGAAGTCCAAGAACATCTGGAGGCCCAAGGTTGGGGAACCATTGCTCTAAGTCATGTACATGCTGCTAAGCCAGAACCTAATTAAGAATCCTAATTATAGCAGGCACATTAGTTCAGTGGAATTTTTCTTAGCGTTCATTCACCATTTAGCGATCGGTGGGTTGGGTCCGCTCCAGGTGGAAGTGACAATTAGATTCAGGCCGTAACGAGCAAATGCTCTGCTGACATGCGGCATCGAGGAAGATGTAATGGTGGCCATCTGGGTGTTTGGGGACCACAAATCCCATTTGCCCCAGCCAACTCAGCCACACTAGACGCTGTTCCAAGTCCTCCACACAGAGCACGCTACCATAGTCTTTCGAGACTGAAGGATGCCTAACTAACTAACTAGTTCAGCGGAATTTTTCTTAGCATTCATTCACCATTTAGCGATCGGTGGGTTGGGTCCGCTCCAGCTGGAAGTGACAATTAGATTCAGGCCGTAACGAGCAAATGCTCTGCTGACATGCGGCATCGAGGAAGGTGTCATGACGACTATCTGGGTGTTTGGGGACCACAAATCCCATTTGCCCCAGCCAACATGCATGCGGATGATAGAAGTTGTGATACCAAACTTATTTAGGGGAAACACATTTCCCAGCCCTGCTTTGCATCACTAACATGGCGGCATGACCACGTGCTCCTCCTTCACCCAAACTAGCCCTCTCTCCCATGCTAAGAATCATCATTGCGCCGTCAGGTTAATTCTCTGACCCATGGCAACTCTTTTCAAAGTTTTCTAGATAGAGTGTACTCAGAAGTGGCATACCATTCCTTTCCTCTAGGGGGAGCCCTGGGACGGTGCAGCTGGCCCAAGGCCACCCAGGCTGGCTCTTCTCCCCAGGAGGCCCAGTGGGGGAATCGAACCCCCAACCGCTGGCTCCACAGCCGGATACCCTAATCACTGAGCTATCCAGCCAGGTCCTCCCATGCTAAGGGGCGGTCTTACTTATTCAATGTCTAGCTGAGGACTGCCTCATCTGGCAGAGGCCAGTCCCTTCCTACGTGGCATTGTCTTGGTGGATGTCAGGTGTAGAATGTGGGACCTGCTGAATGCAGAATGTCTGCTCTCTTGCCCTCCCTTATTGGGAACAGCTCTGCTATGCAACAGCATGGAGAAAAAGTGATGATAAATGGAGGCAGGAACTGGTGTCTGGCTTGGAGGGAAAGGTCAGGATTTAGTGCCAGGAGGGGCATAGCTCTCTCTCTCTCTCTTTAACATTAAAAAAACAAGTCTTTTTTCTTTAAGTATTGGCTCAAGGGACTGCATAAAGTAGGTTTCACATCACAAAGCAGAATAACTCGGCACATTCCCAAGCAAAAAATTTCTGTCCTTAACTAGCCTTACGGATGTTCCTGGAAATGGCCATTTGAAAGATTCATTCTCTGGCTGATAAGAGCAGAAGAGTTTAACTGATGTATAGCAGACCTTCAGAATACCTGAGGATGGAAGGATGCCTTTGGGTGGAAGACCTCAGGTCCGGGGTCAAGCCTAATACAGAACAACAACAGATCCAGTTTTATACCGCCTTGCGGTGCACCGAGGAGCTTATTGGACGGCAACTTCCAGAAATCTTGGCCAGCACGGCTGTGGGTGAAGGCTTCTGGGAGTTTTGAGTCCAATGGGTGAAGGCTTCTGGGAATTTTGACTCCAAGAACATTTGGGGGGACCCAAGGTTGGGAGCCACTGGTTTAAGCGATGTCCCTAAACTTTGAAAAATAAATAGATAAAAATGTCTACCGCGCTTTTTACGCAGATCTCCACCGCTTCTGGGAGATTTCCTAGAACCGACTACTCTTGGAAGACTTGAATTTGTGTTCGGTGGAAGTACGTACTATGGGATGAATGATGGTCAACCGGGCTGCTTGTGGTTTGAAACAACGCCGGCGCAGCAGGTGACGGAAGAGGTTGAGAACCGGGGCCAGCCCTAACATGAGGCAGAGTTGAGGCCACTGCCTCAGATGGCAATTCCTAGAAAACAGCAGCTGCCTCCTTACATCAGTTCCCAAGCTGATTGTGGAACAGTACTCTGTGGATTGAGATTGCTTTGGTGGAGGATCCCACATAAAAACCATGTGGATCCATGAGGAGCTGTACCTCTGATTCATTTTTTAAATTATTATTATTTATTTATTTATTTGCACCAAGATAGCTCTTTTCTCCTCCAAGCTTGCACTGGACCGGCCGTCTCCTTCCCTTCCTCTTAGACTCCCTGCACCCCTCTGTTCTCACCCCCAAAAACCAGCTCTTATCTCTGCGGCCACCTCCCCAACACCACGTCCGTTGGCTCCCCAAAGCGACCATTTGCAGTGACAAAGGTGTTTAGATCGGCAGAAACCATTAAAATAAATCAGGGCTCCCTGTGGGTGTTCAAATAACCGGCCCTCTGATGGAACACTATTTTACGGCACTTTCCAGCCGGAAAGCACGCTCTCCTGGCAAAGTAAATCTGTGCTTCTGTTTATGTCGCGAAGACACCTTCTTTGGGATCATTTTTTTTAAAAAAAGCAAAATGCAATACAACGGTGTTTCTTTTTGTCCATATAGAAACAAGAGTAATGAGAAAACGAAACGAGCCAATGATTGCTGTTGAACGTGTGTGTGCTTTTCATGGGAGAAAGGAAATGGAGAAAATTCCAGATGCTGGACAAAGACGTTTATTTCAAGCGTTAACACGTGTTTTTTTTTTTAATGTCATCTTTCCTCAGGGCAATTCAGCAGCAGCACTTCAGGGAGGACACTCTAACTGATTCTTATAGTCACTGCCAGACAGCGCGAGCTTGGGGAAGTTACTTTTTTTTGGACCAGAACTCCCAGCACAGCTAGTTTCCCTCTCTCGGCTACAAGACTCACACAGGGTGTGTTTCCTGCTTGTCGGTCTCACCTTCATTTTTCCCCCGGCCGGCAGCATCTGGAGTTTTCACCACTTCTGCCACCGCTTTGAGATGGCGTCCTGCTTTTGGTCTTCTGGAAGGCGGGCGGCAGGTCAGAAGGGCACAGAGAGCCCGTTGGCTATGCTAGCTCTGGACGCTGTAGGGATTATGGACGTTCGGTCAACTTGTAGGCTGGTTCACAGTCCTGCTGTGGATTAATGCTTTTGCTAAGGCTGGAAGGAAAGGCAGGGAGATGCCTCAAGGCTTGGTGTATATATCTAGCCCAGTCTTGCTTATTAGCAGCACCTTCTGTGGAGTCTCAGATAGGAGTTTTCCTGCCACCCTGTGCCTTCTCACTGGAGAAACCAATGGCTAAGCGTGCAGTTTCCTGAATCCAGAGCATGCGCTCCGTCAAGCAGCTGCAGGCCCTTTGCAAAATCTGCCTTGTATTCGGTGACACTCCATCTCCCATTTAGAATTCCCCACTCTGACGGTGTTCCAGAGTCTCAAGGCGTGATCAGACAGCTGGAAAGGCTTGTGCCTGCAAAAGAGACACTTTAGCAGGCACAGCCCCCCTTTCAAGCAAACCAGAGAATCGATTTAGCCTGTGCCCCAAAAGCAGAAGCCTTACCGTTGGACCACCAAAAGTCCAGACACAGCACAGATCATTTCCCTCCCTGTTGCGTCATTTCTAGGAAACACAGAGCACCGGATTGCTCCACGACCAGTCCAAAATGCAGTCTATTTCCTTCTGTGCTCATACCCCCAGGTATAATTCCATTTCCTGCTACCTTACCTTTTTACAGTGGAGATGCTGGTATTGAAGCAGGGCTTTACGACTGCTGAACTGATGGACTTAACATCAAAAAGTGTGAAATATGTGTCCTTCCAAAGTGTTGCTGACCTGCCTCCCCCATCAGCTCTGAGCAGCATGATCCGTTGTAAGGCATCATGGCTGCTGCAGCCCAGGCACATCTGGACAGCGACCCAGTGTTTAGCTTAACACGGCTGATTGCTTTGCCCTGGCTACAGGGGGAAAAAAATAAATTACAATAGTTTCAATGCTTGGGCTTTCGGCTTTAGCTTCGCAAACCTACTGACGGGGTTGTCCGATCGACCTATTTCATGGCAATGTTGAAAACAGCGTTCATCAAATGCTCTGAACAGGTAAGGAAATGCATAGGCGCCAAAAGGTTATGATGATGATGATGACAGCAGCAGCAGCAGAGCAGGGAAGAGCACAACATATGGCTTCGTTTATAAAGCAAAAGAAAAAGTGCAGCTGCCGATCACGGTGTCCCAAGGAAGGTATCGGGGAGAAGAGAGTGATGTCCTTCAAATGAGGTGGAGCAAAACAGTCCAGCGGGAGCACCCAGCCTCCCATCCATCACACATGCCAGGTTAGCCAAACAGAAGGGCCGGCCCATTTTTTTTTTTTTGTCCTCTGGGATGAGGAAGGAAAGAAGTCTTGACTGATGAATCTGACGACATAAGCGGAGGAGGAGGAGGAGGCCGGTGGTGGCAGAGAAAAGGAGTGGAAAGGAGGAGAGACCCCATCTCCTCATAGAAAACAGGGGGCGCAAGCGCATGTTCGCTCAACAAGATAGTGCTCTCCGAAACACTGTAGGATAGTGAGCAATTCAAACCATGCAGAAAGCCAGTCACCGCTCAGGGACCTTGTTCCGAGAAAGGTTATCTTGGCCCATAATCATAGCCGGTCGGGGTACCTGCCGTGGAGTACATGTTGGCAGCGGCGGCAGCGGCCGCGGCCGCGGCGGCAGCGGCGGGATTCATGTGGTGGTGGTGGTGATGGTGGTGGTAACTGTGTCCCCGGATACTGGGCAAAGGGTAGGGCGCGGCTCTGCTCTTTGCTCCCAGGTAATGGTCGTAGGCCGAGACGGGATGCTTGTAAGGGTGGTGGTGTAGGGGCTCCGAAGCGGAGGGCTCCAGCCGCAGTTCGTGGTGTGGGGGGCTAGGCCGGCTTCCTGCTGGACTGGTCAGTGGGACTAAGCCCCCTCCGCCAGGCACAGGGAGTGCTGGGCTTAGGACCCTTGACATGAGTTGCTGGTGAGCGGGGTCTCCATGCAGGGGTGTCCCTCCGGCGGCTTCCCGCTCGTAGTCCCGCCGGCTGTCCACGGCATCTGTAATGTATGTCGAAAGAGGAGGGAGAGGAGGGAAAGGGGGAGGTGAAAAGGACAAGGATTGGTCATTCTTCAAGGTCCTAGTCTGGAGAACGGCAGATACAGTGACTATTTTGGACTCCCAACATCTGCAGGCCACGTGGCAAGGATGCCAACTAAAGGCATTCTGGGAATTGTATGTACAAAAAAGTAACATCTCCAAAGCTGTGATGCCAATGGATCGAATACCTGGCCGTAATAAAAGGGACAGCCAATCAGCCCGTCTCATCCAGCAAACTCATTAAAATACAAGAAATTTCAGAAGCATTGCGGGAACAACCAAGAGACTGTGTAAAACAAAGCTGGAAACTAATATATTTCTGGGCCCAGGAGAAGGCAGAAGTTTAGGGTGAACCTGATCATCTAGGTACTCAGTTTTCACTGGGAACCAGTTGGAGAAATCCAGGAGCCAAACAATGCGGGAGTCTCTGACTCCAAAGGGGGGAGGGTCTATTTTAGTCAGCAGTGGGGTAGTTTCTTTTTGCTTGTTTGCGTTTTTTCTTTGATGTAGAGGGTTTTTCGCTTATTTGTCTTGTAGTGTTTTATTTTAAATAAAATTGGTGTGCTTGGCCCAATCAGTTTGGCTTCTGTGTTCTTTGAAAGCAGAGGTGGTGAGAATCTATATTTACAAGGTCTGTGTAGAGGTCTTGCAGATAAGCATTTTTACAGTGGTTGAGGTCTCTGGCTGTGGAGCCAGAGGCTGGGAGTTACTATTAAGTTGGCTTCAAATGGGAAGCACCACAGCGCTAAACTGCACCCTAGGAACACAGGAATCTTAAAACAAAGCCATGCTTTCAAGAGGGAGGAGAAGGCATGGGAAATCCTGGGAAAAGCTGCTGTACTAACCAAGGCAAAAAGGAAGCTTTACGGATAGCAGGATAACATGAGTGACGCTGAACATTATTTTACTTATTTTTCATCTCGCCCTAAGGCAGCTCAGAAAATTAAAAAGACAATATTTAAAAGCAGTAAGTATACAAATACAGTGGTGCCTCACAAGACAATTGCCTCGCAGGACGATTAATCCGCAAGACGATTGGTTTTTGCGATCGCTGTTGCGCTTTGCAAGACAATGTTTTCTATGGATGATTTTCATAAGACTATAATTTTTCCCCATTGGAACGCATTAAATAGATTTCAATGCATTCCAATGGGGAGCTGCATTTCGCAAGATGATGTTTTTGCAAGACAGCGTTTTTCGCGGAACGAATTAACATCGTCTTGCGAGGCACCACTGTATTTAAAAATAATGAAACAAGGATTATATTTAAAATGGTAAATGAAATCATTACCAAAACATGTTTAAAACAACAAAGAATGACAGTCCATTTAAAAAACTCTCTCAGACCACCCGTTGTTAAGGAAAAGCCTGCCTGAAGAAAGAGGTCTTTGCCTGCTTCTGAAAGGACAGCAAAGATGGACCCAGGCTGGCTTCCAGTGGGAGGGAGTTCCAGAGTCTAGGAGCAGCCACAGAGAAGGCCCTCTCCTGTGTCCCCACCAAGCGCAGGGTGGCGGGACTGAAAAACAATGCTTCCCCTGATAATCTTAATGCCCAGGCAGGCATGAAATGCTCATGCAGTCAAATAGATAGCTTGGACCAAAACTATTTAGGGCTTTATACATTAAGGAAGAGACAGATCCTTCCGGAAGAGTCCTCATTTCAAAATGTGACACCCCCCCCCAGCCCTGTTGCATTTATGGGTTTGCCTGCTCACTCAATGGAGTGGGGTTAGGAAGACTGCCTGCCTTTCCCCTCCCCAAATTCTGCCCTGGCAACACCACTGAGTGAAGAATTATGGAGCAAATAATAGAATTATAAAAGAATTAAAGGACGTTGGAAGTTTTAATAGATATTCATATTTTTTTTGGCTGTTCCAAGATCACCTTCTGCGTGCATGCACGCACCCCCGTAGGCCCTCCTAACAGAGACTGCTCCCTTCAAGTCAAGTCCGTGCCACTATGTTTTAAACAAAAGCTAGACAAAAGGAGAGCCTTCTTGTTGTTTCTTGGTGCAATGATCTTATGTTAACAGAGAGGGGTGGAGGAATGCCAGCAATAGCAGCTTTTTGCTTGCTTTCTTTCCTAAATGAAGTGTTTAACGTTGTGTTCGGCAGAAAGCTGCGCTCCTGGGAGAAGACATTCTGACGGTGATAAATAGAGGCTGAGTTGAGTGACAAGTTTGCACACGCTTGAAATTTTTGCAATTGTATAACGCTAAACAAATAGAGACTTCTCTTTATTTTAAATAGGCCTGGAGTGTGGTGGGGGAAAAGGGCCCCCCAGGTTTCTCTGTGTAACTGTTTACTCTGCATAATGGAAATGGAATCAATGAAAGAATCCTAATGGAAGGTTTTCAGGAGGTTAAATGCGACTACTGAATATCATGTTTTTTGTTGACGCGGGTTTTAGAAACAGTTCTTGAGCAGGTTTTGTTTAAGAAAACAGAGCATCTAAGACATTCCACTCACGCAAAAGTTGGCAGGTATTAGCTACAGAAAACCCCAAAACGTTAAAGAAAAAAAGTAAACGGCAGAAAAGCCGTACGAAGGTGCAAATTAATTTTAAGTTCCCTGGAAACAAAAATGAACATTAAAAGCACGCTTCTTGTAGCTGGTGTTTTATTCTTTTTCGAGTTCAATCGGTATTTGAATATTTCAAAGTTTATGGTAAGCTCTTATCAGAATTAAATAACTAGCAGGCAAGAATTTGTGAATGAGCATTACTGAAAATTTAGAAGAGCTATTTGGGGCTTTCAAAGGGACAACACATTTAAAATTGAGGTTGAAACCTGAATGATACTTGTCTGGAAGCATGCTCCACTGTATATTTAATCTAATTAAATATACATAAAATCGGAGTGTTCAGCAGCAACCTTTACCCACTTACTTACTATTCTATCCAGGTAGATTTAACTGGGTAAATGCAGCATTTTGCAAAAATTAAAAAAACAAATTTGAAGAAGGGGGCATTCAAGAGACCAGAACTGCTGAATAGCTCAGTATCCAGATGTGGAGCCAGAGGTTGGGAGTTTGATTCCCCACTGTCTCTCCTTGACAAGGGCCGGACTCTGCAGGGAATCGAACTCTGTAGGGCCCTTTCCAGCTCTGTAGTTCGGTGGTAGTTCTTTTTCCTCTTCCCATTCTTCTTATAAAATACTTACTATTTGTATTTCCTACCTACATTTTGTCTTGCATCTGATGGAAACGAATCCAAGTTCACAAAGGCTTGCCATAATCAATTTTTTTAGTCTAGGTAAAAGGTAAAGGTTTCCCTTGACAATTTTTGTCCAGTTGTGTTCGACTCTAGGGGGGCGGTGCTCATCCTCGTTTCCAAGCCATAGAGCCAGCGTTTTGTCCGAAGACAATGTTCCGTGGTCACATGGCCAGTGCGACTTAGACACGGAACGTTGTTTACCTTCCCACTGAGATGGTACCTATTTATCTACTCGCATTTACATGCTTTCGAACTGCTAGGTTGGTGGGAGCTGGGACAAGCGACGGGAGCTCACTCCATCGCATGGATTCGATCTTACGACTGCTGGTCTTCTGACCCTGCAGCACACAAAGGCTTCTGTGGTTTAGCCCGCAGCGCCACCACGTCCCTTTTTTTAGTCTATAAAGTGTCATTAAACTCTTATGGCCGGAATCCAGCTGTTAATGCAAACTAGACTAGACCCATGGAATCAACAGGGTTTACCTAAGTATGGGCTCGCCCTTCAGCAAGGGGTTAACTCTAGTTGGGACTAGCGGTTGGTTTTAGATAGCAAAACAGCCTCCCTGACACAATGGCCTCTAAATGTGTTGGATTTCAAGTCACAAAAATTTCCCTGCTATCTGGGAGACCCTGAGAACAGTAGCTCAACATGTCTGGATAGGAAGAGGTTGAGTATGATGGCTTTAAAAGCAATGAACAGTGTCGTATGTGCTGATTAAACAGAAGACAGCATGCTACGCTGGAGCAACTAGAGATGCCTATTGGATAAGACATTGAATCTGACAACTATTTTTTTTTCAGATATGGTTGGACTACAACTCCCACAATGACATAATTAGCATACTCAACGGCAATGGGATTTGGAGTTGAAGAAGGTTTGGAGGGCCTGGATTCACGAACTCCTTGTTACTGGACTGCATCCTACAATTTCTTTAGACTAGAATGATTTTATGTAGCTAATATGGAATATTTCATTGGCTGGATAGCTCAGTGGTTTAGGTTTCTGTCTGCAGAGCCGGAGTTTGGGAGTTCGATTCCCCACTAGGTCTCCTGGGAGACAAGCCAGCCTGTGTAGCCTTGGGCCAGCTGCACAGGTCCAATGGCACTCCAAGAAAAATAGTAAACCACTTCTGTGTATTCTCCAGAAATGGGTTGTCACAAGTCAGAATTGACTTGACAGCACATGATGATAATAATATGGAATATATATTTGTGGAAACCTGCCTCCTTGTGCAGATGGAAGGCCCCGGACTGAAGCAATTGCACTGCTTAAATGGGAGAAGCAGCTGATGGAGAAGCTTTCCATCCCAGTAATTAAGTCTTTGGAATGGATCCGTCTTGCAACCCTGTGCATTAAAAGCAAATTCCCAGAAGAATAACCAGACTGACTTGTAAAATTGCAACGAAGAAGACATGGTTTCCAATCCGCTGAGCTCTGTTAGACGTTTAGCTCTTTTGCGAGCAAGGTGTGTTTCTTGTAAGGCCATAAACCAGATTGGCAAACATCCAAGCAACTGTGTTTCAACGAGTTAGCAAATCTAACCTATTAATCACACTTAATTTTTCAGTTCCTATGCGTCATACCGCTTAAAGCCAAGTGCTCGCTTTTAAAGTATTGGGCGCAGGGCGAAATCCCAAATAGGAGGGTTGTCCCTAATTTTAATGTCTGTCTCATATTAAAGACTGGCAACTTTGCCCGGGTAGAACTTTCATTAGGTGGAAGTGGTAGCAATGATAACATAACTTAGTCTGATGGTTGTTGTAGGCTTTTTGGGCTGTTTGATTGTGTTCTGCAGACCATCGGATCCCGGCTGTGAAAGCCTTTGAGAATACAGAGCTCAGTCTGCTCTTTTTGCTATCTCTGGTCATAACGACATCTAGATCTACAAGAATATTGCCAGCAGAAGAATTCTAAGAATTGGGCTAGAATGTTCAAGCCGTGCGCTTTCACCGGCGCTCTTACCTGTAATTTGGTAAATGAATGCAAGCCTTGCAGAACTTATTCTATCCAACAGCTTACTAGCAAAAAGAATCAGGTTTGTGTAAATATTACAGTTGTGCCTCGCTTTACGATTGCCCAGTATAATTACAAATCCGCTTAACAATGCCTTTTTTGCAATCGCAAAAGTGATCGCAAAACGATGCTTCCTATGGGCAAAATGTTCTATGCGACGATTGGTTCCCTGCTTTGGGGACCGATTTTTCACATTATGACGATCAGCGAACAGCTGATCGTCAGGTTCCAAAATGGCCGCCGGCTGAAGAAAATGCCCCCCCGCTGTTTTCTAGGACTGATTCCTTCCTAGACAGGAACCGAAAATGGCCGCCGTATGGAGGATCTTTGCTGGACGGTGAGTTTTTAGCCCATTGGAACATATTAACCGGGTTTTAATGCGTTTCAATTGTTTTTTATTTTCGCTTGACGATGTTTTCGCTCTACAGCGATTTCGCTGGAACGAATTAACATCATTAAGCAAGGCACCACTGTACATCTCTGGAGGTTCTTGCTGCCCTGAGAAGTGTGTGTGTGGAGGGGTTTTAAGAGAAAGTATCTGCATCGCTTTGCTGGATACGCACCTTTCTCAGTCCCGTTCTGATGCACTGGAGAAGACACTGGATTTCTGGATCTGGCAAAGGCGCTCATGAGAGGAAGTGCCCCTGGGCGGTGATTCCTAGGCCTAGTGTTGGGGAGTGGGGAAAAAATAGAGAGAGAGAGTCAAAAGAACAGAGTTGTGCTGCATGTATAAAAATGAGTAACTTGCTTTTAGGAAGCACAGAAGGTGGTTAATTTATTTTCCCTTGTCCTCTGTTTTCTGGACCGAAACAAAACTTTTTTAAAATGATGAGCACGATGTCTCAGCCACCTGAATCACGTCTCTAAAACACTAATGCCTTCCAGCTTTTAACGATGAGCAATTCGTACAACTTGGAATCGAAGTGGGGGCTCTTTAATTCGCGGCATCCTTTTATAAATCAGACTGGTGCTAATTAAGAAGTCCTTGCTTTGGTACTGAGTTGCGCATGAAGCCACCCCACATGCATGCAGTGAGACCCCAAATTTAAGCAAAGAGGCATCAAAGCAGGAACAGTTTCATTAGCAGCAATGTGCCACTGCAGCCGACACCACTTTGCTTACACCGCAAATATTTGTGCATAACGAATTTGTCATAGTTTGGCCTTCATTTTTTCCCCAGCCTAGCATCTTTCTGAACAACAGCATCCACTTCCATCACTGCCATAATCATCCCTTTGGCTGTGTTGCCTCCCAATTACAGTATAGTGCAGCATATGGAAAAGATGGAAATCTGGAGGTTTCTCCAAATAAGGAATATTCAGATATATCAATAGTCTCCAGAGAGAGAGAGAGAGAGAGAGAGAAACCCTGAAGCATGCATTAAAGAAATTGTTCTCTCACCTCCCAAAGTCTGGAAAGAGAAGAGAAATGCTAGGGATGTAATTTTGTCCACAAGATCAAAAGTGGACACAAAGCGAGGCACCAAATTTGAGAGAATGGAACTGAGGAAGGATGCTTGTCTGTTTAGCATCTCGTGGCTTCTGCTCCTTTGGAGTCCCTTTCAAGGACTCTTTAGGGATTCTGGAGTGCCACGAAACAAGAATGGAAACCCCAGGATTAAAGAACCCCAAACTGGTGTTTTCCTTTCATGTCTAAACAAAAGGACTGGTGCACGAAAAATACGAGGATTGAAAGAGGTGCCTCCTAAAGGACCCGAAATGAAAGAAGTTGAAATATTTTCGCAGCGCACATCCCAAGAAACACATTGATATATCATCACTAGCACATTCAGATGCATCTTAATCTGGTCTGTGCGATAAGGACACATTGAGGCCAAGCCAAGGGCGGACCAGAGTTTTGGCAGAAGAAGGAAATCTCAAAGCAACAGCAACAACAACATCAACAACAACAACAACAACAACTCCAATGGTCTTACCAATCTTCCGGATCGCAGTCTCTGAAACCTTTAGCGAAGGGATTGCTGGCGATCTTAAGCTGGGTGATCTAAAGAGAAGAAATTTGGTGATGGGGTGGGTTTGGGATTAATTTGGGGGAAATGATGCTGCAGAGACCTTAAATCCTGGAATCCTCCAGTCAGCAAGAGAACATGCTGCCCTCTTTTAGCTATGGTCAGTTCTTACACGGTATGATGCACCATGTCAGTTTTTCCAGTCTCAGCAACCTTTAAAGATACCGCAACCAGAGTTTGGAAAGTTACTTTTGAAAAGTAATTTATTCTCGTAATCCATTAGAGCATTTGGAAAGCCATGTTTTATGCCTTACAGTTGTTGAACAGGAAATTAATTGCTAAGCAATTTATCCCATTGTTTATTTTCTGTGATTGATGCAAAAACAAACAAAAACTTAGAATGGATAAAACAGCAGCAGAAAGCTTTTTTTAAACGTCTCTTTCATATCAGAATGCCTCCACACGTTCCTAAACAAGCCCTTAAAATAATGATAAAGCATTACTTTGTGCAACAATGAATTCACCCTGTTCCTGCTCATTACCCTGCTATTCAAACATAACTTATCCCCTAAATGACTTGTTACACATAACTGTGTTACATGTAAACCATTATTTCCAGAGCTGAGCTGGAAATACCATCCTCCCAATTCAAATGGCCATGGTGGCTAGGGACGATGGAAAGTGTAGTCCAACAGGGAGTGTAGTTCAGCGCCAGGTTGGTGGATCACTGCATAAGTCATGTCAGGATAGTTCTAGTGGTCTGTTCCAATATCTTAGGTAGAGTTTAGTCCTCTCCAGCCTACCTCCTGGAATAAACATGTATTAATTGATAACTAAGTAGGGAAAAATAGGATTATTTATATGATTTATATAGGAAGATACTGTAACTAATTCTCTGGAGCTGAGGTTGGCATGGATTGAACCTGGGATCTTTGGAAGCCAAACCTAGAGCAAGCCTCTAAGGATGGAAAGAAGCCTGTGATAAATTGGGCACACTTTTGTGTGAGTTTTTTTCTGGGTTCATCCTATTCTTACAACATTTTTAAAAAATCCCTCCTCTCCCAAATTCTGCAAGAAAACTGGCATTCAACCCACATTTCCGAGCCTATGTTTATCTTGAAAATTCAGATTTCAAAACACATTTAGTTCCTCTTTTTTAAGAGTGAAGAACTGCTTTGCAAACATCCAGAGAAGTACCAAAAAATAAAAATCCAGAGGTTGACCATCTTCTGATTCATACATTCACCTGGGAGATGGAGAACAGGTTGGTTCAGATCCAACTGTACACAGATCAAATTCCCCACACGCCTCTGTTATGGCTGGTTCCCTTCAGCCAGGCAGCTTGAGAGCAGAATAACAAAAACCTTAAAAGGTGAGCTTAAAAGCACTAAAGAAAATTGTTTCGGTCACTTGCAGAAGGTCTAATATATATTTTGTTTTTGCTCCTCTCTTGTTTTCAGAGGGGTTTCTCCGCACCAGATCTGTTCTGAAAATTGGTACTGTGTCTGTTTTAATGTCCCTCTCCTTTTTTTAAAACTTGGAATGCAATGGTGTGGTTTCCCTCTGCTCCTAAATGCAAACTTTTACTCTGTATACTGCTAATGCCAAGCACAGAAAGAAAGGCAGTGCTGATCTGTCTGAAACGCAAATACATTTGCAAGAAGATGTCACTGTATATGCGTCTCTCTCTCTCTCTCTCTCTCTCACACACACACACACACTCCATTTTCCAAACAACCCTCTGCCATCACATCTCTGTATAGGAACCATGTATTTATTTAATTCACCAGGGAGTCAGGCTGGGCAATTTTCTCCCCTATATTTAAGCAAATCCACGGATAAAGTATGTGATTGTAAGTTTCCGGAATGGGTTGAAAAACAAACTTTAAGCCCCCTCATTGACAGTTCCAGCCTTAGAGGTCAAAGTGATAGAAAGCAGAAGAGATGGAGCAGCTGTCCAAAGCCATCAGCTGAATGTCCTGCTTCTAGAGGGGCTCCGCAGGCTCTTAAAGGCACAGCATCCTGCTCCCACCCTCGCTGGATTTTTTTTAAAAAATGGAAAAATTAGATCTGCTTTCAATACCCTCCAAGATATTATTATCAATAATAACATGGGTCCCTTCCTTAGGATCCACTAACCCTTGTGTATCTATCTGCAGGGCCACATCTGATCTGCTGATCGTACAAATAAAATAATAATATCTGCAGGGCAGACTTCGAAGTGCAAGCTACTTCTCGATCAGCGTCACCGAGTCCAAAATCCTATAAGATCCTACTGAGAAGTAAATGGCATTCCGTTCAGTGAGACTAGATGTGCCTACAGAGGTTTGAAACCTATATATCTTGTGCATGTTTATTTCTCCAATGTCTTACTGTGTTCTGTGACACTTCCTCCCAGGTAAGCATGCATTAGAACTGCAATTAAGAATGGCTTGAATATAAGATCAATACAGGTTTAAGTTGATATATTAGACAATTTATGTATTTTTAATCTTTAGGGTTTATATAGTCAGAATTATATATTAATAATAATAATTTATTGTCATTGTAAGTATATACACAGTATACCCATACAACGAAATTCACAGACACCCAGAGACCAGACACATGCACACACATAAAATTCCCCAAACACTCCCCACCCACTAGAAGTCCCCCACTAAAAATACAAACATCTACACCGCAGGCCAAGTAACACAGTCCAACTAATTATTCACTATTGGTGGTCTTTAAGCTCATTATTAATTGCAATTATAGCACTGGGATAAAAACTATTCAGAAAGCGTGTGGTCCGAGTCTTAATTGTTCTATATCTTCTGCCAGACGGTAACAGTTCAAAAAATTTATAAGTTAAATGGATATGGCCTAGAGATGCTTAGTAGGGCAATATGGTTTATGTAGTCAGGTTTATATGTCAGATGGATATATTCTCCCCGCATATATGTTTTGTGTTTGTTTTGTACGTTTGTCTGTGTTTAATTTTAAAAAAAGAACTGGACCCTCAATTTATCTTTGAACCACAAAGGCCTAATTTATCTGCAGAACACATAGATTGCGAGGTTTATAATAAGGAGGATGGTCACATATTTGACTGCGAGAGTACTATAATAATCACTGGCAAAAATCCTGTTGCTTACCAAAGCAAGTTGCAGTTTGAGTAGGCCCATTTGAATCAATGGAAGCATTGACTCGCTAAATCCTCATTGATTCAATGAGCTTAGACTACTCCAACAGGATTTTGGCCATTATGTGTGATGTTACATAGGCTTGTTCTGTAGGTTCTCCCTGTGCTAAGTAACTATACCTTAGCTATCTTGAAAATACTTTACATATAATAAAAGTCTCCACCGTTGTGTAAGAAATAGGCTAGTCTACAGATAAATGATTGTTGAGCTCAGAAAGCAATTTTAAAGACCTTTTTATGCTTAGAGGTATAATTAAGACAGTTAAAGTGCTGGTTAGAGAGTTTAACAAAATAATCCTTATGGCCTTAAGAAAACAGAATGTATATTTATGTTGAGGAGAAGTGGTTTAAAACTCTCTCTTTTTCGTAAGATTCCACAGACGTACACACTACTAAAATAGAAGTGGTATTCAGGTAGTTTTTTAGAAACATAATTTTCATGCCATATGTTTCCAAAAAAAAGTAAGATAAACTGGATCATCCACAATTATGTTTTTAATGCAAAGCCCAAGAAACAAAAAAAGGTCATCTTTGAATGAAAGCATTGCTAGGTTCTTTCCGAGGAATAAAAATGCCAAGGCCTCCCAGGGTGATCAAATTCCGTCAGAAACCAAGCAACGGGTTTAGCAGACCAACTGCCCGAGAAGCAGGACCATTCCCTAGACAGTCTACAGAACGGCACTGAGACTCAAACGCTGAATGCAAAAAATTATTCAGCAAGAGGAACTGCCAGCCATGCAGAAAAAGAGACGGCTGGAAGAGAAAGCAGTGAGATGAATCTCATAGCGTTTCCCCAACCCCTTTCCTCATCACCAGTTTCAACAGGCACTCACATTATGGGCTGGTCTGCACCGCAAATACAATCCAGTTTCAGACCCATTCCTCTATTTATTTATTTATTTTATTTGTTATTAGACATTTACCCTGCCCCCCCCGAGACAACATCTACTCGGGGCGGCTTACATGGATAAAAACACAACAATACCTTCCTAGGGCATCCCTCTGGCATAGGAGATGCTGGAGAAACTGAGCCATTCTGAGAATTAGAGGTACGCAGATTTGTGTTTACGGACTACAAATCCTAGGTAGTGTAGTCCAAAAGCACATATCGGCACACCACTAATGAGAATTATAGGCTCAGGTTTTTCTTGCTTCCAAAGAGGCGCCTTGAATAGAGTTACTCCTAAGCAGATCTTAGTTAAATGACCCAACTACCGTGCGCTAGATGATGCGCTAGATCAGTGGTTCTTAACCTTTGTTACTTGGATGCTTTTGAACTGCAACTCCCAGAAACCCCAGTCAGGACAGCTGGTGGTGAAGGCTTCTGGGAGTTGCAGTCCAAAACTCCTGAGTAACCCAAGGTTAAGAACCAGTGCGCTAGATGATGAGTTTTTTTTATCACCATAGCGCTTTGCAAAACGGTGTTTCCTATGGACGATTTTCGTCGGACAATGTTTCGGACCGTGCTTCGCAATATGTTTTTTTTGGGGGGCGATTTTCACAAGATGACGATTTTGACAGCTGTGTCCACGACTCGCAAAACGGGTGTTTTCGGGACCATTTTTCACAAGACAGCGATTTTTACAGCTGATCTGCGCTTTGCAAAACGGTTTTTCTATGGGCGATTTTCGCAAAACGACGACAATTTTTCCCCATTGGAACGCATTAAATGGATTTCAATGCATTCCAATGGGGAACTGCATTTTGCAAGACGATGTTTTCACAAGACAGCGATTTTCGCTGAACGAATTAACATCATCTTGCAGGGCACCACTGTATAGGGTTCTCTTCTTTCCTCTTACAGCTTCCCTGAGTGGTAGGACAGGCTGAGAGTGTGATGCCTCCCAGTAAATTTCATGGCTTGATGGGGAACTGGATAGCTCTTATCCATTACGGTTTAATGATTAAACCAGATTGGCTCTATCAACTTATCTGTTAAGCTGGGGCATTTAGATTTATTTAAGAATAATTCATTGGGGAGTCGGGCACCAACACTCTGTGGCACTATTTTCAGTCCTCCCCTCCTCCAGGATTGGGGAGGAGTTAACCCAATAAAATCCCGGGGAGTGAGAAGGAAATAACTTACTCTCTTGGCTAACTCATATACTTGGAATTTTCTTTTGAGGCTAAAATGTCATTCTGTATTTCCTTGTTTGTTTTGGAAAACAATAGGAGATAACAAAATTAGCTGTGAGTTAAATACAAGCATGCATTCTGGAGGCAGTGCAGAAATCAGGGTAAATATGTCCCATTTGAGATCCATTATAGTTACTCTTCTTCTTTTTTTTCATCTACTGTACTATTTTCTTTGGCTGAAGTATTGACTGCAAAAAAGGGGAAAGTCTCCAAATCATGATAAGTCGTAATGAAAAAGCAGCTTCCCATCATTGCATGTAGACTCATGCGGCTCACAAGACAATTAAATATATTTTAAAGACCCAGTTCGCATTTAAAAACCAGTTTGTGACTTTCTTAATCTACATTTATTTGGAAGCTGCGTTCCATAAGAGCCATTAGAATTTGTGAAGAGCAGAACTAGGATTACTCCTGGTCATGGTGGACTGGAGGGAGGAAATTTTTAGGATCTGTAATCCAAAAAGTAACTTTTTTGAGTTCTGCCCAAGTAAACAGTTTTAAGTCAATTTCGCTGAAACTGAACCTTGTAATGTGGAAAATGTATGGAGGCATTGTGAATTCCAAGAAGCCACTGACGAAAAATCCCTGTGGATGAATTTTCAGCACTGAAATATCTTTCAGGAAGAAAAATAAGTTTTAAATCAGTGGTTCTTAACCTTTGTTACTCGGATGTTTTTGAACTGCAACTCCCAGAAACCCCAGCCAGCACAGTTGGTGGTGAAGGCTTCTGGGAGTTGCAGTCCAAAAACACTTAAGTAACCCAAGGTTAAGAACCAGTGTTTTAAATGGAAGTTTCAACTACAACTGACCATGCTGGCTATAGTATTCTAAGAGCTGTAATCACCAAAAGTTTTTTCCCCCTATGCTCTGGGTGCTACGTATTTCTTTCGGCTGTGATCCTATTGGGGACATCATCATCACCCCATATGTAGCAATTCATTTTGGGGAGAAAAACATTCATGCTTTGTGCAGGAGGGGACACAGCTACGAGTTTATAAGCTTCAAGCCAAGTCTACAAGGGCCAGTCCCAACACCAGAAGTGGCTGGTAGTCTAGCAATTCCTTCCTCCTCCTGTGTAAATCTTGGTCTGTTTTTTTCCCTTTGTTTTTCTTTTTTAAAGAAGCACTAAGTCATACTCTTTTAACCATTTTGGCTGCCTCTGGTAATCTGGTAATCTGCAGATTTAAAAAAAACCACAGTCAGTTCTGAAAGCAGGCAGTGGGGGAAGGACCACTGAGTTTAACCATTTTGGCTGCCTCTGGTAATATGCAGATTAAAAAAAACCACGGTCAGTTCTAAAAGCAGGCAGTGGGGGAAGGACCACTGAGAAATTGCCCCATGACCCCCTAAGAAAGCGTGAGGAGCATGAGTGGAAAATGAATTAATTCATCTCAGAATTGCATTTGCCCTTTCCCAGTGTTGTACATAAAATACATGGGAAATACGGTAATTCATCTCAGAATTACATTTGCCCCTTCCCAGTGTTGTACATAAAATACATGGGACATAAGAAGAAATCAGCTTAAAATTTGCCCATTGGTCATATAATTTTCTTTAGTGCCTTCGGAGCTTTGCTTTCAACATTTTTCTTCTTTCCACACACCCCCTTTGGTGCAGAGTGTGAGGGGGATGATAGAGGAATGGGTTTTGACCCCAAACTATGCAACGCAGCTTATCCAGTTCCAAACAACTGGCTAAGAACTGCAGTCTGCAAACAATTTTAAAATATTAGATTTGCATCTAAAACAGTTGAACCCCATCTGCTCAACCTCATCTCATTGGAACTAGATCCCTTAAAGCACTTCATAGATCACAGCTTTATTTGGGGTGGTGGTGGTGGTGGCTTCGACTGATTGACCGCACTGGACAATCTCCTTTTCCTGCCGTCTCTTTTCCTGCCGCCCATCCATCATGTTGCTGGAACTGAGAGGATGGCTGCTTTTTGTTATTGTTGTTGTTGTTAACGATCAGCAGATACTCACTCGATGGTTTTGGTAGGCAGTCACGGCCGTGAAACGGGTCTCCTCGAAGACAAAGGTCTTAAAGTTTTCTTCCGCGTATTTCTCGCTGTCTTTCCTTGGATCTACGTAAACCACGTGGAACCGAGGCTGGTATCTGTGCATGGAGTTCAAAATGATCTGAATGATAAAACGAGCAAGGGAGATCATATGACTGATTCATTCCACTTCACCAAGATGGTACCGTTGAGAGAGGATGGCCCCCCCACACCCTGCATAGCTTACCAACTGCACAGTGTCAGAGTGGAAACAGACTAGGAGAGGGTAAATACAGGGGTAAATACATATGCATGCGGAGAAGCATGAAGTCAGCAAGGCTGGGGTAATGCTAGGGGTCTTGTGTTTCGTAGGGACATTTCTGAGGGATGCTGTTAGCCCAGTGGAGCAGCCCTACAAAACTTTAAGAAGTCTGTCTTCTTGGCATCGGGAAATTGTGTAAGATTTTAAGGGAAAAAATCTAAGCAATAGTCTTAGATTTAGGGAAGAGGGAAATTCATCATGCATGGAAGTTAAGGGGGGGGAGTCTTAGGCCCACACTTAACTCACTGGATGTGAGTGAAACTTTCAGTATGTAAGTCATTTTTGTTAATCATATTAGTAATATAGTATTATTGTTATTACTAATAATGGCTTTTCTTTTTTAAAAAAAGCCTGCTGCCTGTTTAGTTAGGTATACATTTTTAATTGACCAGACTTTTTAAAGTTTGTCCTTATGAGGAAGCCCCATTGAACTCAGAGCATAATAAACACTGATAACATCACACTAATTGGCAAAACATAACTCTGTTTCCAAGTACCTATGCAGATGATATCCTATCAGGCTAAATAGTGTAATGCTAATACTATTAGGTAAAGGTAAAGGTTCCCCTTGACATTTCCTCCAGCTGTGTCCATCTTTAGGGCGCAGTGCTCATCCCTGTTTCCAAGCCGTAGAGCCAGCCTTTTGTCTGCAGACAGTTTCCCTGGTCACGTGGCCAGCGCGACTAGACGTGGAACGCCGTTACCTTCCCACCGTGGTGGTACCTATTTATCTACTTGCATTTGCATGCTTTTGAATGGTTAGGTTGGCAGGAGCTGGGACAAGTGACGGGAGCTCACTCCATCGCATGGATTCGATCTTACGACTGCTGGTCTTCTGACCTTGCAGCACAGAGGCTTCTGTGGTTTAACCCGCAGCGCCACCACGTCCCTATATAATAATATACTATAGCTAATAGTATTAACAGTGGTTAAAACCTGAATTCTCTTTTGTCATTCAGCCATAAGCAAACCAGATGTTTTGTGTATGTCAGCTTTAGTCCTGCATCTCTGGAATGGGATCTGTAGACAATCCTGTAATCTCATCATAGCATTCTGTTCTGGCAGTGGAATGAAGCCCTGGCCACTTCAGACTGTGTTTCTATGTAAGTTTTATTTTCAAAAGAGGCTAACTTAGGAACTTTAAAAGAAATAGGTGTGTTCATCTAGGCAGCTACTCTACATCAAACCACAGAAACAAAACGAACGAAGAAGAGAAAAACATTGTGGCCCCTTAAAGTCTAACTACTGAATTATATTGTGAGCTTTCATGGATCCGGTAGAGAAAGTGGACTTTATCTATGAAAGCTCATGTTAAAATATGTCAGTTAATCTTTAAGGTGGTTATTGTGGGTTTTTCAGGCTCTTCGGCCGTGTTCTGAAAGATGTTCTTCCTAACGTTTCACCAGGCTTTTGACACACTAATCACCCATCTCCTGAATAGGACAAAAGTCTATCTCACAGCCATAAATACTCAACTCCCAAGCCAACTACACCAGAGCAGAGAGTGCTGTCCTCTGAAGATGCCGGCCACAGAGACTGGCGAAATGTTAGGAAGAACAACCTTCAGAACATGGCCAAAGAGCCTGAAAAACCCACAACCATCAGATCCTTGTTGTGAAAGCCTTAGAGAAATCTTTATCACAATGTTTCATCTCTCATTCTTCTGTTTCCATTTGTGCATGTATGTGTGTTTGTCTAATATAACTTTCTAACAAATATTTCAAAAACTGTAACTATTTTTTAAAAAACATTATCTGTGTTAAGAGAGGAAATGGCTTGTCTTTTGTTCATGCCAATAAAATCTTCATTATGTTTGCAGTTTTCTTAATGATTGTATCTAACTATTCTATCAATGACCTTCTTCATAGGGAATCTGTGAGCACAGAGAGAACATAGACTTCGACAACCTTTTCACGGAGATAACACAGAAATAGGAAGCATTGCAGCTATAACCTATAACCTGGTTTTAACAATAACCTATACAGTTTCTGTTTTGTTGAATACATTTATCCCAAACTCCTTGAGCTGGAACACCTTGTAAAAGCTTTTCCCTCAGTAGCCCAACAACAAGAATGTATGGCCAACTGCTGGCAAGATTATACATATACAGTCGTGCCCCGCTGGATGATTACCCCGCTCTACAACGAATCTGCATTACGTTGACGTTTTTGCAATCACTTTTGCGATCGCAAAACGATGGTTTAAATGGGGGAATTTCACTTAGTGATGATCGGTTCCCTGCTTCGGGAACTGATTTTCGCTTTACGATGATCAGCAAACAGCTGATTGTCAGGTTTCAAAATGGCCGCCAGCTGAACAAATGCCCCCCTCTGCTGTTTTCTAGGACGGGTTCCTTGCTTTACAGGCACCAGAAAATGGCCACCATATGGAGGATCTTCACTGGACGAGCAGGTATTCAGCCCATTGGAACGCATTGAATGGTTTTCAATGCATTTCAATGGGTTTTTTCGTTTCGTTTGACGATGTTTTCGCTCTACAGCGATTTCGCTGGAACGAATTAACATTGTCAAGAGAAGCACCACTGTATACAGATTGTCTATCCAGGACATTTTTATAATAGATGCTCCCTCCAAAAGTGAAAGACATCTGATTGTCATAGCATGTGGCTTTCCTCCTGTTTATCTAACATTTAGCATTATTTTGTGATTGGCCATTGGAAGGTAAACAGGGGCTCAATTTGTTAATGTAATTGCAGAGGCATCTTATCTCTGAAAAATACAATTGTGAGATGGAAGATGGACTAATCATTGAGAATGATGTTTCCCAGACATATACTGGAATAGTATACGGCTCTTTGTTTCCCCACACAACCTCTGCATTTCCCTGCTCAGACTTACATGTCCGTTGTCATCCAGCAAATTGTTAGTCAGCTTCAGTTTATCAAAGGAGACAATTTGTTTCATCCACTGGGCTCCTCTGGCTGGAGAATCGGGATGATAATGGACTCTCCCTGGCGTTGCAGGATCTGCTTTGCCAGCCACCAGCCAGGAAGAACTGTGAAAGGCATACCTGTGCGGGGAAGGGGAAAGTCAGGGCTGTGTTAACCAACATGCTAGTTAAAAGTGCAAGTCAGTTCAATTTACATTTCTTGCCTTAACTTTGTTTTAAAATCGATATCCTTCCCCCCCTTTTTAAAAAGAAAATAATCTGAAACCAAAGTGAATTCAAAAGCAGAGCTATATATAACAATACCATATGATGATGACGATGATGGTAATGAAGTTTAAAACTCAGTAATATGAACCAAAGTAGGCAGAAAGAATGAAAAGAAGAAACGATGAGGAATTTTAGCTGGCTGTAAAGCAGAAATATGGAACACTTGATTTTCCAGAGGTTTGGGCCCTAAACTCCCTAAGGGCAAAGCACTGTGGCAGTTAACAGCTCAAAAGATCAATCCCCTGCTCCAAAGTAACGATGGCCACCCTCTCAGTCCCTGCGCTAGATATCTTTAAAGGATATTGCAAACATGGCTGAATGTTGGATTGCAACTAAGTAAATATATTGCAGTCAAATCCTCATTTGAGCCTCTGCCACGCAGCAGTTAGAGCAGCCTTCTCCTCACTTAGTACCCTCCACGTATATTGGGAGTACAATATACCCCATCATCCCCTACCACTGAAATGGCTGATGGGATTTGTAGTCTAAAAATTATCAGAAAGGTGCAGCCTGGGTCCATTGGGTTAAAGCATTTGACTCCCTTTCGATCCTCTCCCCCCATGGCCATGAAGCTCATGGGGGTGTCCTTCGATTTGTCTTAAGCGTAGTCAACTTCACAGGGTCGTTGCGGATTAGCCTTTCTTGAAGGAAAGAAGGTTAAGGACGTAAATTGTATGTGCATTCAATCCTTGGATAACAGCTAATTCACATTAATGGGTTTGATTGCCAAGTAATGGGCCTGTAGCTGATTGAATAGTTCAGTGGTTTTAGTATCTGGCTGCAGAACTAGAGGATGAGAGCTGGTTTGTTCACACACACACACACACACACACACACGGTGCCTCCTGGGAGTACGGTGGTGCCTCGCTAGACGATGATAATCTGTTCCACTGAAATTGTAGTTTAGCGAAATCATCGTCTAGCGAAAAGCATTTCCCCATTGGAATGCATTGAAACCTGTTTAATGCGTTCCAATGGGGAAGAATTGTCGTTATTTAGCAAAGATCAGCCATAGGAAAGCCGCTTTGCGAACCACCGATCAGCTGTTTAAATTGCTGTCTTGCGAAGATTAGGTCCCGAAAACACGCGTTTTGCAAGCGCGGAGGGAGCTGTCAAAATCGTCATCTAGTGAAAATCGGTTTGCGAAGCAGGGACCAAACATTGTCCAGTGAAATTCCCCCATAGGAATCATTGTAAAGTCAATGTCTAGCAAAAAAACTGTCATGTGGGATAACTGTCTAGCGAGGCACCACTGTAAAGCCAGCCTCCCAGGGTCCTCACAGAAACAGGGAATGGTAAACCACTTCTGAGTCACCTCTACCTTAAAAAACCTGGAATGTTCCAATACTGGAGAGGAATGGCTTCTGGGTCAGGGGGACTGGAATTATTCCGCCTAGAGTAGTCTTAATTGATTAGATAGGCGGGATATAAATTAAATAAATAAATAAAATAAATTCCTAGCATCTGCTGCTTGAAACAGGCACTTCCCTCTATCAAACGGAAGGGCTGGCCTCCAATCTAGTCTTACACTCTGCTCCCAGATACTCCAGGAGGGAAGCCATAACAAATGGCACCTATGGGCCTCATCTCATCATCCTCCCCACCACACACACACACACACACAACTTTGCTTTTCAGAACTGCTATCCTTAGTAGGGACATCGGCATGGATTTGACAGATTAACGGTATTAATTCTACCACACTGATCAATAGGCGACAAGGTGGGTGACGTGACTGCGGCCATGTTGATTCTTCTAGTTCAGGTAATGGGGACAATACTAGAAGGGAGTTGTGAAGGGTCTATTTTATTTGAAACAAAGCCTGCCGCAAACTTGTTATGTCTGTGGCTATTTGTCAGCAACAGCTTAACCTGAAAGAAGAGGGGAAGAGATTACAGTATATTGGACGATAGCGATGTTTATGTTGTGCCGAATTTAGTAGCAGCTTGCTGCTTTAAAAAAAAAAATAATAAGGCATGCACAGCGGTGGCTGAATTTCAGCCGGAGACGAGGGAGTAATCTCTGGGTGCAGTTCATAGTGTGCACCTGTACATGTCTACTCAGAAGTAAAGCCCAGCAAATCCAATGGCACTTCCTGCCAAAGAGAGCTGGGGGGGGATATTTTGGACTACAACACCCAGAATCCACTAGGGACTTCCAATGTTGAGGTTCAAAAAAAATTCAGTTCTTCCAGCCTCTGTTGCAAGTTGAATACAACGCTTACAGTGCTATTTACATGCATATCTACTCAGAAGTGAGTCGGTTAATTGCAGGGATGTTGGCACGTCTTGGGGTTCGAGTCCCAAGTCTGAGTCTTGGGTACCAAGTCTTAAGTCTTAAGCCCCAAGTCTGAATTCTTATTCAAAACAAGCTTTTTCCCACCACAGAAAAATGGGAGGGTTGGGTGGGTTCTGAGTCTCCAATTGAGTCCGAGTCACTCAAATAAAAAAAGAGTCAAGTCAGAGTCAAGTCACTGGTGTGACTTAAGTCTGACTTGACAAGTCCTGCAGCTTGTGTTCCGATCCGTGGTCTACCATGTTTCCCCAGAAATAAGGCAGGGTCTTACATTAACTTTTGTTGTTTAGTTATTAAGTCGTGTCCAGTTCCGATCCCTGGTCTACCGTGTTTCAACGGAAAGAAGGCAGGGTCTTACATTATCTTTTTGCTCCCAAAAATGTATTAGGGCTTATTTTCAGGTGATTTTTTTTTTCATGTACAACCATCTTGTTGTTGTTTAGTCGTTAAGTCATGTCCAGCTCTTTGTGACCCCATGGACCAGAGCATGCCAGGCCCTCCTGTCTTCCATTGCCTCCCGGAGTTGGGTCAAATTCATGTTGGTCGCTTTGATGACCCTGTCCAACCATCTCCATCCTCTATTGTCCCCTTCTCCTCTTGCCTTCACTCTTTCTCAACATCAGGGTCTCAACTATCTACATTTATTCAAATGCAGTCATGTCATCTGGTCACTGCACAAGGGTGGAGGGCGGGGTTTCACTTAACTGGGACTTATTTTGGGGGTAGGGCTTATACGATGAGCATCCTGAAAAATCGTACTAGGGCTTATTTTCAGCTTAGGTCTTATTTTCGGGGAAACAGGATTTTATTTGAAATATTTGCTCAAGGGGGTTTACACGGCTCTCCTCCTCCTCTGTTTTATCCTCATCACAACCCCGTAATGTGGGTCAGCTATGAGAGCTTGAGTGGATCAAGGCCACCGGGAGAGTTTCATAAGTTACTCCGTAGGAACCAGAACCTGGATCTCTCACACTCCAGCCCAGTCCTTGATGGGCTAACTATGGCCCTCCAGATGTTGCTGGACGACAACCCTCGTCCACCCTAGCCAGCCATTGCTGAAGAAGGACAAGGTCTGAAGGACCAGCATCACTAATGGTTAGGTGTCAAAAAGAAAGGTGAGGTCTTCGTGTAAAATCCAACACAAAGGGTGGGCGAAACCTTTATTGTCCCACTGAGATATGAAAAATATGGGGAGCTTTTGAGTACAAGCGTCTTCTACTGGCTAGGCGTTCTTCTTTATGCACAGCTTAATGAAGAGTGGTACAGGACACGGAAATTTTTAAAATATTTCAGTGGTCCAATAAAAGTATTTCCTACCGCAGTGGTCCCCAAATGCAGGTAAGCCACATGTTCATAGACTGCAACTCCCAGAAGCCTTCAGCACCAGGGTTTCTAGAAGGTGCAGTTCAAGGAGACCTGGGTTAGCCATGGTTGGGAATCAATGCCCTACAATGTAGTAGTGGTATTGGGGCTCATGGGATCTAAGCTCTGGGACTTTTGGAGTAGCAGGAACAATGGTATCACTCCACTCCCTCCAGGCTAATCCATTGTGAAGCATCCCTGTTCTACTGCAAAGTACCGGAGGGCAGTTTGGTCTTAAATGTGCAATTAAGAGCCATTTGTTCTACAAAGGAGTTGTTCCTTGTTTGTTGATAGGGACTGCTGCCTGCATTTTTGGAATTTCCTTACGGTGATGTCATGAGCACCTGTACTTCCAAGTATATTACTACACCTAGGCTTACCTGTCCTTGTTTTTCAACATTTGAAGGAGTGCGTTTTGCTAACCCTAAGCTAACCATTGGCACACTAAAATATGGTGCAGCTAAAAAATCTTGTAAATAAATACATAAATAAATATCAGTATTAATGTTTGACATATTTTTAAAAAACCCAATATTCTAAGTCCTCTACTCATTTAAGTACATTGACCAAGATGATTGTACGTTTCCCTTCCCTTTGATGGTAAATTCGAGAACGATTTACTTCCAGGTAAAATGAGTGTTGCATTTTTGTGTGATGCTGAATTTATTTCCAAGATTACAATCCATTTTTTATCGTTTTAAAATATAATACTTGTTTAATTCCTTTTTTAAAATATTTGTTCTTAACTTTTAAATATTGTCCTTTTTAACAGTGTAAGCCGCCTTGGATCCATTCAAGGAGAAAGGCGGGGTAAATAAAAATATTTAAAATAAAATAATGCATGGGTATTGCAGCTTTGCACATTTCGCGGCTCTTGTTCCCCCTCGCGTTCCCTCCCCTCGCCAAGGTCGCACTTTTCAAAATCCACGTTGATTCAAAGGCGCAACGTCGGAGTGACCGCCTGGGCACGTGTTTATTTAAAATAAACCCTCTTTGACTCACGGGGGAGATGGTTCTCGCGTCTGAGTCTTGCAGTAACATCAGCGCAAACCAAAGGGGGTTACGGTGGTAGAAGAAAGATATACTCAATTGGATGTTATATATCTCATTTCCTTGGACAAGCAAACATTACTAAAGCGCCCTGGAAGCCAGCGATCTGTCTAAATATTTACATCTTCGGCACCGCAATTCATAGG